CTGAGGTCCTCTTTGCCTAACTCTGGTGTGTCTCACTGCCTGCAGATGACGACATGGATCCTGGAAGCCCACCAGAATGTGGCTCAGATGAGCCTCATCGAGGCACAGATGAGGTTTATCCAAGTGCCATGTCCAGTCTCTCCTTAAACACCTACAGAGATGGTGACTCCACCCCCCCGGGTAGTCCATTCCAATGTCCAATCTTGCAGGCAAAAGGCTGGAGCAAAGGATGTCTCTAATACGCTTTTGTGTTGGTGAATCTTGAAAAATTCTGAAAATTTGAATGAAGTTTGAAAATTGGTTGTGCAGGCATCAAACCAGGGTTTTCTGGCTCCTAGATAACCATTTCCTAGTGTTTAGGCGTTGCTAGAGATGCTCAGAGTGTTCTTAGAGTCACTCAGCTTCAGTGGCAGAGGATTTTCAGTCTTGGATTGAAGTGTATTGCAATGAAACATCTTAGAATCACAGATTCCCAAAATGGTTTGGGTTGAAAGGAACCTGAATGACCATCTTGTTCCAACTCCTGCCATGGGCAGGAACAGCTCAGAATCATAGAGTCATCAGGGCTGGAGGAGACCTCTAAGATCACTGAGTCCAACCATTAACCTGTCACTGCTGGAACCCCTAAACCCTATACCACATCCTACAGTGCCAGATCCAGACACCTCTTGAACACTTCCAGGGATGGTGACTCCACCAGCTCCCTGGGCAGAACGACCACCACCTTCCACAAAATGAAGTGGTTTGTCTTGAACTGGGCTCATATGTTTTCCAATCATTCCATGTTTCTGTGCTGTGCCGTAGTATGACGCGATCAGGATCAACCAGCTGTACGAGCAGTCCAAGTGGGCAATTCTGCTGGAGGAGATTGAGTGCACAGAGGAGGAAATGATGATGTTCGCAGCACTGCAGGTAGGAGACAGCCCAAGACAATTAGGGTTTGGATTGAACTTTATTTTGTGGCTCTGGAAACTTCTCTATTGATTAACCCAGTAAGTGAAATCCCAGAATGGTTTGGGTTGGAAAGACCTTAAAGACTATCTAGTTCCACCCCTCTGCCATGGGCCAGAGGCCATGCAACCACTAGCCCAGGTTGCTCCAAGCCCCATCCAACCTGGTTTGGAGTGTTTCCAGGACTGGGGCTGCCACAGCTGCTCTGGGCACCCTGTACCAGTGCCTTTTCACCCTCACACCCAAGAATTCCATCCCAATATCCAAGCTAAATCTCCCTGCTTTCAGCTTAAAATCTGGTGGTTTAAGCCTCACCTTATCTTTGCTGGAAGCTTGGACTTGTCACACTGGTAGAACTCAGATAATTTCCTGTCTCCAATTCCTCACTTGAGCCTATTCGGTAATTTAAATATTTGCTGCTGATTACTTCTCATGAAAAAGAACTTGACCTACTTCTACCAAACTTGTTTATATCTATCTTAACTTTTAGTTTTGCACTTCCTAACCCCCCCAGCATGTCCAGGGGATTACTGACCTGTTCCTCTCTGGCACTCTGCCCCTCAACCAGCTGGGGATAATCCCTGGGATTCCCAGAACTATTTATTTCTCTGTTTTATGAAATACTTAGCAACTTGGCATAAATACACCTGCGGTTGACTCGTGTGAGAGGGTGGCAGATGCTATTCCGTGTGGTCTGGCACTCCTTGTCGCTGTAGGATGCAGAATTATCCCACCAGGAGCAGGGCTGTCTGCTCCAAGGGCTCCTCCCAGGAAAAACAGAGTGAAAACAGAAGTATAATGACTCAGTTTACATCTGAGCACTCCAGAGTGGGTTGGGCATGGTCCTTCCTGTGAGGTTTTATGGATGTTTTGGTTTTCTGGGGTAAAAACAGATGCAAAGACATGGAGTGCTGGAATGGGTTGGGTTGGAAGGGACCTTAAAGATCATCTCATTCCAACCCCCTGCCATGGGCAGGGACACCTTCCACTAGCCCAGGTTGCTCCAAGCCCCATCCAACCTGGCCTGGAACACTCCCAGGAATGGAGCAGCCACAGCTTTTCTGTCCAGCCTGTGCCAGTTTCTCACCACCCTCACAGGAAAGATTTTTGCCTAAGATCTAATCTAAATTTCCCTCTTTTCAGTTTATCCACATTTCTCCTTGTCCTGTCACTGCAGTTCCTAACCAAGAGTCCTTCTGCAGCTTCCCTTCCCAGCTCCTGGCAGGTTCTCTGAGGTCTCCACACAACCTTCTCTTCTTCAGCCTGAACAGCCCCAAGTCTCTCAGCCTGTCCTAATTTGGGAAGGTGTTCCAGTCCTCTGAGAAGCTTCATGGCCTTCTCTGGACTTGTTCTAGCAGTTCCATGTCCTTCTCATGTTGGGAACACCAGAACTGTGCAGCACTCCAAGTGGGGCCTCACCAGAGCAGAGCAGAGGGGAGAATCACCTCCCTCACCTGCAGCCACACTCCTTGGGATGCAGCCCAGAACTGGGTTGGTTTCTGAGATGTGAGCTCACACTGAGCTCATGGGGAGTTTGTCACCAGCCATCAGCCCCAAGTCCTTCTCCCAGGGCTGCTCTCCATGGCTGTAGGTGTGACACTATCCTGGTGTAACGCTGTGCTTTGCCTTGCAGTACCACATCAATAAGCTTTCCATCATGTCCTCGGAAAACCACCTGAACAACAGTGACAAGGACGTGGATGAGGTGGATGCTGCGCTCTCGGATCTGGAAATTACCTTGGAAGGTGGCAAAACATCTACCATCCTGGTAAGGATTGACATTCCCAAATCTTGAGCTCTCCACGCTGAGGTTTCTCTCCCTCTGTTTCTAATTCACGTTTTACAGCCCCTAAAAAGCTGCTGTGATTTTCAGAACTAATTTATGCTTATGAAACCCTATTTTTATGAGCCTGGGTTTCAGCCTATGTCTGTGTTTCAGAGGATTTGGGGTTTCTTTCCCAATCTGCTGTTTCAACACTGCTTTTCCACCTTGAAAAACATAAAGCCTGAAAATTAAAGTGCATTAAAAGGCCTCAATCCAGTCAACCTTGGCCTAGCACACTGCACATTTATACCATCTCTCAATTTCATTTCAAGTTCTTTCCAAGCCTAAAATCCCCCAAATTTTCCAGTTTTACACTTCATATACTTTCTTGAAGTGTTTATGAAGGATCTTTTAGAAGTTCCGTCCACCCTTGGATGCTTTATTGGCACCAACACCAGCAAAGCTTTGCAGTATAAACACGACAGGAATAACAACAACTTTTTATCACCAGGACATATTTCCTCATTTCTTTGCTAAAACCAGATTTGAAACATAGCACCAAGGAGCAGTCCCTGCCAGATAGGAGCAAAGAGGACAATGATTCATCCAAAAAACCCCATCGCTTTCCGTAGGGCCTTGCTAGCAGGAGCCATTTCCAGATGCACTCGAGTAATTGGATACGGATAATGGGCAATTACTGGATTGTTTGTTTAGATTTGGCATTTTTTTCCCTGTGGTATCTATAAACAACATTGCTCATTGCAGACTCAAAGTAAACTGTCCTGCTACTGGAAGCTGCTGGAGCAATCTTTCCTTGCTCTGTCCCTCGAAAACCCTTTGCTTCCAGCTCCTGGGAATTGCAAGTGCTTCCCTGTGTATTCTCCTCAAGCAGAATAGGAAGATAAAATCAATATTTAAAGCTCTGAGTGGAAAATATTCCTGCTAGACTTAGAAATCCCTTATGCAGTCAGTTCCCTGTGGAGGTGCATCTTCTCCTTTTGTTTGGAGCATAAGGAAGTAACAGAGGGAGGGGAAAATTCCCTGTGCGAACACCAGGGGCTGTGACCGCCAGTGACCTCGTGGGTGGGAATTGGCTCCAGCAGGAATTCCTCAAAGCCAAATGAAACCTTGTCCTCTGCTTTCCAAACAGCACTGCTGTGCCGTGGATTTTTCACTGCTTGCTTCTCCCAGGCTTTCTCAGGGGCAGTTTCATGACCCCCAAGGCCTGATGTTGCTCCCAGCTCCCTCCCCTGCACCACATCCCTTCCCTCCTGGACCCAGTGGGGCAGGAGGGTGAATGGGATAATCTTTGATTTGCAGGGTGACATCACTTCCATCCCAGAGCTCGCTGACTACATAAAAGTCTTCAAGTAAGTGCTGATGGGAAGAGCTGCTTGAGAAACTGGTAATGGCTATGAATAATTAATGGTCCTACTGCTTAATATCCCTTGATTTTTATCCTCTGGCCTTAAGATATTCCAAATATTCGATACTGAAGTTGATTAGTTCTTAAATACAAAATTCAGGGTGTTTTCCTGCTGTGATGCAGATCCCTCCAGGAGAGTTTGCTGCTTCCAGCAAGGGATATATCTCTAGCACAATGCCCAGGAGATAATAAACCATCCTAAAATTAGGAGTGAAGCCTAAAAACTTCCCTCAAACATGTCTCCTGGTTTACAAGGACCTGAATAAATCCTACCCAGGCAGGATCCTGGTTTCTCCACCCTCTCCATGCCAAAAGGAGCAGGTTAGTCTGACTCTGCTCCTCTTCCAGCTTGCTCAGGATTTAGGGATTCTTTTAGTTTGCTTTGACTTGGATGGTGGTACATGGAAAAAGGGGAACAGCAGTGTCTGGACTCGGAATTACATTTTTGGCAGCCACAATGTCTTTTGCAATTTATTGCCTGCTGCAGAGAGGGTGAAAGTTCTGGAAACTGGGAATACTGATGAGATTTCACAGCAGAGCTGTAGGATAGAGGGGGGAAAAAAGCTGTAGGCAGCAAAATAGCTCTGGAACAAGCCTTTATTTTATTAATTGGTTGGTTGTGAAGCCAGAATGTGGCACTCTCTGTTCTGAAAAACTCCTTCTCCCTCTCTGAAGGCAAATTAATAAGGTCTCTGTGTCTGTCTGGGCTTGTGATTGCCTTAACTGGGGCAAAGCTTCAGGGCTGCAGCCTGTGCTCTGCCCCTCAGTGGATGTTTCTTTCCCCCCTGAACAAACAAACAACTTGTTCTTGACTTTGGTCTGCTGATTTGCCAGTAAAATTAGGCACCACTCAGGGAGCTAATTGCTTGTAAATTGGAGCACCAGGAGATGGAGCAGCCAGAAGCTGCTGCTTCCTCACCTGGTATGAGCCCCAAACCTCACGGTTGGGCTTTGAGGGTGTCAAGTTGGACACAGAATTGCCATTTGCTCCTCGAAATGGGGACCAGGAGGGATTTAGTGTGAGAAATCCAATGGAGAACTATCAAGGTTGGAGGAGACCTCTAAGACCATCAAGTCCAGCCATTAACCTGTCACTGCTGGAACCCCTAAACCCTAAACTATATCCTCCAGCACCAGATCCAGACACCTCTTAATCACCTCCAGGGATGGATATAGATGGAGTGATGATCAGAGCTGTCCCAGCTTTGGATGAACCTTTTTTCATGCTTCAGCTGGGGAGGAGCTGCAGGATATATCCCTAGTATTCCATATATTTAAGTCCTCTCTATGTCCCTGTACATGCCTGGTGTTGCTGCAGAGACATGAATAGTTTCTCTTTCCACTTGCCAACCAAAATCATAGAATCCCAGCATAGTTTGGGTTGGAAAGGACCTCAAAGCTCATCTAGTCCCAAACCCCATGGGCAGGGACACCTTCCACTAGCTCAGGTTGCTCCAAGCCCCATCCAACCTGGCCTGGAACACCCCCAGGGATGGAGCAGTCACAGCTTCTCTGGGCAACCTGTGCCAGTGCCTCAGCTATGCCTCAGAATTCCTTCCTAGTATCTCTCTGTATTTTACTGAACATCAAAATGCCCTGTCTGCAACCCACAAAAAATCCAAGGACAGTAAAGGTGTATTAAAACACTTCTAGTGAAGGATGGAAAAAGCTGCACGTGTGGGATGGCTTGGCTGGACGTTCGTGACTTCTTCCATAGTGGGAAGCAGCTCTCAAAGGAAACTCTGGTTGTAAAGTTTTCCCAGGGCAGGGCTGTGTGTGCCAGGGCTTTTGGAGGAGCAGGTCCCTCAGCTCAGGTGTCCATCAGAGATGTGGGAGCAATGAGGTTCAGGCAGACGCTGTGTTTCTGCCCCATCCCTGATTTCCCTGATTTCAAAAGCAGCTCCCAGCTTGCTTTTGCTTGGAAGTGGAAGTGCAGATCCATGAGGACAAGCAATTGAAGCCATCACATATGTGATCCCTACAGATCAGGGACCAGCAGCTGTTTCTGGGATGGAGATGTGAGAAATGCATGAGAGGCTGCAGAAACAGCCTTAGAATAAGGGTTAGATATTAGGGATGATGGTTAAAAAACTGAGATACTTGGAGCTCTACAGAGGTCCTGAACTCATGTTGGGATGAGCAGGCTCAGGGTACTTAGAGCTCTACAAAGGTCCTGGGCTTGTGGTGGGGTGAGCAGGCTCAGGGTCCCACCATGCCAGGTGTTTCCAGGTCTATCAGTTCTCCTGCAGAGTCAAGCAAAATCCATGTCTTCCATAGAAAAGAACTGAACTTTTTGTGATGTGGAGTGTTTAAAAAGAAAACAAGAAGTGCACTCATGCATGTGTGTGACTGACAGGTCTTTGGAGGTGCCACTTCCCTCCAGAGCTTGAGCAAAGTGGTTCCAGTTTAATGTGGAGGGTGAAGAGGTGTATTTTGCAGTGGTTCATGGACATGTCTGTTTTCGTAACACAGTTCTCCAGTATGGAGAACTATCCTCACCTTGCCCCAAATTACCTCCATGGGATTGAAGAGTCCAAACTTGCACTTAGATCTCAACTCTTTGAGCCAACGTTGCAGTGAAGGAATGGCTGAGCCCCCAGGCAGGGGGTGGGAATGACCCAGGCTGCTGACTGCAGGTTTCCAGGGGTGAAATAGTGAGTTTCCCAGTGCAGCAGTTTATTTTAGGAGCTTAAACCAAGTGTGATGTCCCTCAACCTGTCTGGCAGGCCCAAGAAGCTGACGTTGAAAGGCTACAAGCCATATTGGTGCACCTTCAAAGATACCTCCATCTCCTGCTATAAAAGCAAAGAGGAATCCAACGGGACTCCTGCTCACCAGATGAACCTGAGAGGTAAGAGAAGCATAAGATGATGTAAGAGAAGCTGCTCTTTTCTCCATTAATAGGCTGCTCCTCCTGAATCTTGCTTTCCCACTGCTTTATTCCCTTGGCATGACATCCCAGGGTTGGGTGAGTGTGTTTGAAGGAATGTTTGACTGGGTTTGATAGTGTAGCACAGATGAAGGTGGTGATTGCCCTTGAGGGGAAGCCATATGAGGAGTGGCTGAGGTCACTTGGTCTGCTCAGCCTGGAGAAGAGGAGACTGAGGGGAGACCTCATGGCTGTGTGCAGCTTCCTCATGAGGGGCAGTGCAGGATCATCACTGACCTCTGCTCTCTGTGACCAGTGTTAGGACCTGAGGACATGTTCTGAAGTTGTGTCAAGGGAGGGTTAGGTTGGATATCAGGACAAGGTTCTTTCCCCAGAGGTGTTTGGGCACTGGAACAGCTCCCCAGGGCAGTGGTCACAGCCCCAAGCCTGACAGAGCTCAAGGAGTGTTTGAACAGTGGTCTCAGGCACAGGGTGCATTGTTGGGGTGTCATAGTATCATGGTATGTTAAGGGGTTGGAATGGAGCTTAGAGATCATCCAGCCCTAGCCCCCTGCCCTGGGCAGGGACACCTCCCACCAGAGCAGGTTGCTCAAGGCTTTAGCCAACCTGGCTGTGAACACTGCCAGGGTTGGGGCAGCCACAGCCTCCCTGAGCAACCTGTGCCAGTGAGCTGTGCAGGGCTAAGAGTTGGACTCAGTGATCCTTGTTAGTCCCTTCGAGCTCAGGATATTCTGTGACTCTGTGACCTGGATGTCTAGACAGTGACCCCATAGGGAAGTACCAGCAGCTCCCCAGTAGCATAAGGAAACAACTTACAGAATCTCAGACTGGTTTGGGTTGGAAGGACCTTAAAGCTCATCTCGTTCCAACCCCTGCCGTGGGCAGGGACACCTTCCATATGCCCTTCCTATTTTTATTATCTAAAAGGACTGAAGTAACTTCCACAGCAAATAGAGTTTAAGCTGAGAAGGGACCATTTCCCTCCCTGTGCTTCCTTGAATTACTTTTCCCTCCTCTCCCTGTGCTGGCTGTGAGCAGCCTCACTTGAGCACTCCCTGCACGCCTTGCACTTGAGTTTTCACATTCCTACAGCCATTGGC